TTTATGCTCCAGAGTCCTCCTTTCCAAAGGACCTACATAGAAAGCATTGTCTCAACACACTGGACACAGTCACAGACTCTTCAACTCATGACAAAAGAACAATTAAAACTGTGCCACTGACACAAATGCTCCATAGTCCTTATGGCTTAATAAAAGTGGCTGCTGCAAAGCCTTGTAATTGACTCTTGGGCTACTCAAAGTTACCCCAGTTTTGTGAAGAAAGCTTGTTCCTAATTTGAACTAATAAAAAGTAAATATAAATAAATAAATAAAAAGAATGTAGCAAAAAAAAAAAAAAAGCTACTCCAGTGCACTGGGTGAACTTTAGTTGTAAAGCCCCAGATTCATGCCAGAACATCTAAGAGAGCCAATGCCCTCTATTAGTGTGGTTGAAGCCCAGAGAGCTGGCTGAAGCAGGTAACCCCTGGGCTGTGCAGATGCCATCACAGAATGGTAAAAGGACATTGTGGCATGGGCTCAGTAGGACACATAAGAGCTTGTGCGAGAGTCTCAGGAGAGAGTCCCAATAGACATTGGCTTATAGAGTTTTTTAGTCTGTAATAAATAATGATGGCTCCATCTATATGGCCAGCCTCCCAAAAGTTCCAAGTCTCCAAAATGTCTCCAGAGCTACCCTTCCAAACTCCAGGAAGCGTCCATACCAAAAAGACTGAATTATTCCTCTCTGAAGGCCTCATAAGCTCAGTTCCGTCTTAGGAAGAGGCAGGAAACTGGGCGATCTCTAAGGACACTTTTATAAAATTGAACACAGAACCTTTTATCACAAAAGGCTGGGATGGTTTTAGCCCACAGCCCTCACATTCATCAGAGGCACTTCAGGGGGAGAAAATTAATGAGGATGCTAAGTGCATAATGACTTCTGGAGACCAGCAGGCTCCACTGGGTGGGTGTGGCTGGAGGCTTGCCCCGAAGCAATGAAGTTGTTGCCTGTGCTCTTGCCCTCTCAGTTCAGGCTTCCAGGCAAAGAACTAAGGAGTTGGTGGGGACTTTCTCTTTCCTAGCAACTAGAAAAAACTAGTAGCTGGAGAACCATGGAAAGGAGACACTTGGGCTAGTTTGAAAAAGAGACTTCTTGATTTCAATACTTCTTTAAAGTTTAAATGTAAAAATCTATAGAGACAGCAAGAAGACAGGTCCAAATCACAAAACAGTTTTTTCACAGAGGTCTCAAACAAGTTAGTTCATCCGCACACCTGCAGATGGACACTGGCAGCCAACTCCTGTCTGAGGAGCTAGTGCTCTGTGTTCTAGAAGATGAATTTTAGGCTATCACCCCATCAGACAGTTGGAAGTGTTTTGATGGGTGCCACCTCCCTCCCACCCACCCTAGTGCCGATATAGGAGTCATAGTTTTGATTGACAGCTGTATTCCTGGAGCTGACATTAGTGCTGAGATAAGGTTGTGCCTTGCCCTGAGAGACTCCATTCTGCAAGCAGCATTTGACTCCATTGCAAACACGGAGGCTGTATGGTTGTGCTCCTTCGTGGGCATGTAAACACCACCATCTGCCTGCCGCTACTCAGGAGGCAGAAGCTGAGAAACAAATCATTCCCAAGTTTGCAAAGGATGCTGACGTGGCATTGACCTTTTGTGGCCATTCTGTAACTAATGTATACCCACAAATATAGGCAGATGGAGAGATGATAGCATTAGTGAGAGCTGTGTAGTGAATGATCTAAGAGTTACTATTGCTAACTACTTGGAACGTAGCCAATGATCAAGAGAGCCTGAGACTTTCTACTTGGCAAACTACAGCCGATGGAATCAACGCAGCTTTTGGATTTGCTGTTACTTCTGACACTGAGGAGAGACACACATGTCCATTCATGTTTGTAACACTGTACTCTTAGAGTCTAAGGTGTTTTTAGAGGGAAATTCTCACTAAGGTAGAAAGGGGTTATATTGGGGTATATTCCCAAAGTCAAAGATGAGACAAAAGAAGTCTAGAACCCACAGGGCACCTGAAATGAGAGCAAGTGCTCTGTGGAATTCTTAAGAGGGGAGACGGGAAATGGGTGATGTGCCTCAAAGTTCTGGAGAAGTGGCCTCCACTGAGGTATTGTGTTGCAAATAAAGGACCTTGAGTCTAACAAATTGGCATAGTAGGTGCCTGAAGCCAACTCCTGTTTCTGGAGCTGGCTGACTCACCCTGACCCTTTTGGGTTTTGCTGGGGAGCTGGGCAGATCCATTTGATGTTCATCTCTAATTACTTTTGTCTGTATTCTTGTCATTAGAGGATAAACGGGTTTAAAATGGGCCTGAGTTCTTTGTGCTGAGATCAAAGGCAATCCCCTTGGGAGATGGCAGGAGAAGGCAGGGGACAGGGTGTTCCTGGGACTTCCTCTGCCCTGTGGCTGGGCTGGGCCTCTACGGCACAGGGCTGTTCTCAGCATTTATTCAGTAGCTGGGACACCAGCTTAGCCAGGGCCACTCTTGCCAGGGCTCAGGGAGGTGGCTTGGTCTACAGCCTGGGGATGCTGTTCACTTACTCCTTCTGAAGGCAGGGGCTTCACGATGTGGGAAGATGAAAGGATCTGTGGTGTTTCCCTGGTAATAGACTCCAGTGGGTATTGTCTGGAGAGCCAGCTGGCCCTTGCACTTGTCTTTGTCTATTGCTGTATCCAGAGGAGCAAAAGCAGGGCTGGTGTGTCCTTTAGTAGTGACAACCACCACTCTGATCACAAAGTGTCATATGTTTGGTGCTTGACAGGCAGGCTCACCTTCTGACTGAGGTGCTGTTGGCAACAACAGCTCTTCTTGGCTTAGTGACCTGTTGGTGCTGTTGGCAACAACAGCTCTTCTTGGCTTAGTGACCTGAAGCCATAACTCCCAACAACAGCTCTTCTTGGCTTAGTGACCTGTTGGTGCTGTTGGCAACAACACACGAGCACACGTGGAGCTGGTGGCTTGTAGGAAACTGCAGAAGAGTCTGTGCCACTTAAAGGAGGTCATCTGGATACTATTAATGAATTAAACATTTAAAACAGTCATGGCACACATCTTTAATCCCAATGCTGGGGAGGCACAGACATGTAGATCTCTGTGGGTTCCAGGCCAGCCAGGGCTATGTGGTGACACAGGGACAGCAAGAAGCCTGGCCTCAGAGAAAGCAGAGGCTCTGGAGTTGGGTGTTAGGATTCATGACTAGGATCTCTTACTCTTAGGAAGCTTGCAGCTGTGGGAAGCTGAAAGGATCTGTGGTGTTTCCCTGGTAATAGACTCCAGTGGGTATTGTCTGGAGAGCCATCTGGCCCTTGCACTTGTCTTTGTCTATTGCTGTATCCAGAGGAGCAAAAGCAGGGCTGGTGTGTCCTTTAGTAGTGACTTTAGTAGTGTCTTTTGGGTGAAATGGATGTGCTAACCAGAGAGACATGATGAAGTTAAAAGAATGACCCTACCTTCATTTCTATAAACTATAGTTCTATGAACTATAAAAACCTATCTGAACAACAAGCAACATAGAGGAGAAAGGTCACAGTCTATCACTAGAAGTCAAGAAAGAAACACAAGCAGAAGTCACATTGCATCCAGAGTCAAGAGCAGAGAGGAACATACGAATTGCCAGCTTGCTACTTGCTCAGCAAGACCTCAGTTTAGGGCCCTCCTAGCGAACAGTGCTGCCCTGGTGGACTGGAGCTTCCTACATCAACTAACACCATCATTACTAGGGTACCCTCTAACAAGAGAGCAATGCCCATGGGTCTGCAAAGGGTGCAGAGGTAAATCACTCCAGAGATAGTTCCAAGGAACAGAGTTGACCTTATTGCAAGAGAGCAACCACTTATACAGCGGTATCATGAGGACTATGATTGGTTTATGAGCTAACCTGAGATAGATATTCCTCATTAAGACTCTGTTTCCAGGTGATTGTAGGTAGTACCAAGTTCACATTGAATCTAAGCAGTGCAATGAGCTGCCAAAATGAGTGACTTAGCACAGTGCCTGATTTATCACAGGGGTTTAGTCCATGAGATGAGCTTTGTCAATATTGCCAAGCAGCTGCAATTCTTAGTGACTTGTTTTCTTTCAAACTGTTTTGAAGAAGAACAAAATGGTCAGCAGGACACAGACCAAATAAAATCCCAGAAAAGGCTCTCACTCTACAATGATGTACAGTCAGTGGCAGTCACAGATGTGCCAATGTTCACCTTTTAAGAAGACAAAGCCATATTTCTTATTTGCTCGATGCCTCTGGGAGGACACTGTGATGGGGTGTTTGTCTGCATTGACCACAACACATTTTTCTTTGACCCACAGAATTATAAATTATGCAGGGATAAACTTGTAGGTCCTGCTTTTAGGAATATAAAAAGTCATTATTAAAGAGTGTTTTTCTGTTACAATCGGACTTTCTATAAATTCTCATTGTCACAAAAACTAGTAGATATGTTTAAGTTGTTTTAAAGACACAGCAAAAAGAAAGGAAGAAAGAAAGAAAGAAAGAAAGAAAGAAAGAAAGAAAGAAAGAAAGAGAAAAGAAGCCATCTGGGTGTGGTGGCACATCCCTTTAATCTGACCACTTGGGAGGCAGAGGAAGGTAGATCTCTGCATCAACCAGAATGTCCTTGAGTCACTCCATGCACCCACATATTAGTGTCTCAGCTCTGTCCAAACAGTGGAAATTGATGCTTTCCCTGATAGCTAGAGAAGGCAAATCGCTTGAGTACCAGTGAGAGCAACGTCCCAACGTCTCACTGGTACCCATGTTACATATGTAACAGATCTCGTTAACAACTCACAATTATTTATAATGGCTTCTGATGGGGGGGTCTCTTCCTGGTTCAGTCACCTCACATGGTACAACAATGTCTTGGCATCTCTTCTTTTATAAGAATACCAATCCTACTGTATCAGAACTGCTCACTCATGACCTCCACTGAACCTTAATTACTCCCTTTAAAATAAATGCCTTCCCTGCAATTTGGCTTCAGTCAGAGAAGGCAACTAGGGCTTCAACCCATGAAATGGAGAAGAGGGGCACTCGCTTCAGCAGCACATATACTGAAACTGGAACAATACAGAGAAGATTAGCATAGCCCCTGTGAAGGGATGACATGCAAATTGGTGTGTCCCACTTTTTTTTTTTTGGCCCCTTCCTCCTCCAGAGACTGGCTACCAAAGTCCAGCAATCAGAAGCTCCCTTTGGCTCACCCAGTTAACATGCCCAATTAAAATTAAACACCTCATCCTAACATGGGGTTTCCCCCTTTACCATTATAAACCTCTGATTTCCTATGTGCCATGTCTGTCCCCCTTCTATCCAGAGGCGGTCCTTTGTTCCTCCTGGACAAATACCTCTTTCCCCTTTCCCTTGCACTTTCACTTCTCCCTGGTCGCCTATCTCCTTTACTACATCCCAGCCCATTCTAGCACAGGCCTCCCTTCTTCTCCTCTTAAACATTGCACCTTCAAGGTCACTTGCTGCTGTTTTCTGCCAGAGTCAGAAAGCAGACACGTCAACTTTTCTTCCCCACTAAATAAAGGATCTCTGTGGAAACAAAAACAAACAAACAAGAAACGGAGAAGAGTGTTTGAATCAGCCCTTAGCAACTTGCAAGAATCACATCTCAGTGGTGGGAAATAGTTAAGTGTGGTCAGTCACAAACAATGAAATTAAGAAATTAAGAAATTTCAAAATGTTTCCAAAACCAAGGGAAGAGTAGTACAAAGAGTTAAGGTTAAAAGTCATAGAAGAATATAGAAACATAGAGGAGCCAAGGATGTATGTAACTGCATACAGTTACAATGTATGCAGTAAAAATGACCTGGTGTGGGCTGGAGAAATGGCTCTATGGTCCAGCATGTATTGCTCTTGCAGAGGATCAGGGTTTGATTCCCTGCGCCCACCTGGGGCAGCTCCCAAAGGCTGAATTCTATGGCAGGGGATCCTTTGCCCTCTTCTGGCCTCCATAAGCAATTGCATTTGCATGTACATCTGGCCCCTCGACACATATGCATACAAATAACTAAAAATAAATCTCTAAAAATGTTTTAATTACCCAGCATACACAACAGTAGGAAAATGTAGCATATAGCACAGAGATAAAGCTTTCCATCAAAAATGACAGAACCAAATACAAATATCCTTAATTGATTGCAGTACAACCTATTAACACTATTCTATAGCTTAAAAATGGTATAGAGGAAGACATAGTTTTAAGAAAAACCTGAATTACACTTGCAGTGGTGAAAACTGCAATGTGTGAGAGCAAAGTACATGGAGTGGTACTGATGTCAAGTTAGACACAGGCAAAGGAAAGATTGGTAGACTTGAGAGCTCTCGTGTGGCTATTTCCCATGAGTTGAAACAGTCCTGCCTGGAATGGGAGGATAAGGGGGACTCAAAAGACTCCGGAACAAAATAAAACATACAAGGCCCAAGAAATAAATGAAACTTGGGAGTCTTCAAAAATTCCTGACGGTTACAGTATCCAAAGGACCCTGGCTCAGGTTATATATGCAATAATAATGTGTGGGGAAAGTACATTTGGTCCAACCAACTAGCAGAACTAACTGCAAACTGCACAGGGATCCCAGGGTTGCTCATGTCCTTTTGGTGATGGCGCTGTCATTGAATTGTATATGCTCCTGCAAGGACCCCCAACCACGTGCCTATAAAAAACCCCAGTTAAATCACTGGCTCCCTAAGCTATACTTGGGTGGAACTGACTTTGGTATGTCATCAGTAACCTATCTAATGTGAATAGACATTTGTTCAGGCATCCCTGGTAAAAGTCACACCGGTGCATGCAATATAATTATCCCAAATGAAAATTAAAGAGATAGAATCATTTAAAAATTGAATGGGGTACCGGGAAGTGGTGGAGAAGCTGAAATGACCCAGCAGAAGACCTTGGGAGCAGGGCCATGAGAAGAAGGAGAGCAGAGGCAGAAGAAACATTCAAAAAAATGGTACTGAATAATTTTTGAAATTGGATGGAAATTACAAATTCACAGATGCAAGACACTCAACAATCTCCAATTATTGAAAGAAGGGGAGGAGGAGGAGGAGGAAAAGGAAGAAGGAAGGAAAGAAAAAACACACTATAACTGAATTGCATAAAGTCAATGAGAATCAAAAAGTTTGAAAAGCAGTCAAGAAAAAGAAGAATCACCCACAGAAAGCAGCAGTACAATGATACAAGTGGTATGCGGGCTCAAGCCTGTAACCCCAGTACTCTGTGAGTTGGGGAAGGAGATTAGAACTTCAGAAGTTCAAGATCATCCTCCGTTTCATAGCAAATGCAAGGCCAGTTTGGGCTACATGAAACCCTCTCTCAAGCCCTCCTTGCTCTCCAAAAAACCCACAGTGGGGTAAAGTGAATTAAGAAAGCAGACACAAATACCTTTGTTTCAAAATGATGACAATGAAGATAAAGGGGGCCATTGGTCCCCAACAGTCATCATGGAGGATCATAGTGCTTGGTCCATAGTGTTGAAATATAGATGGGAAAACTTGTGAGCTCCTTGATTAGGTTTAAACACTGGAAATAATTCTGTGGCTCTGGAATCTACCTTCTAGAATCTTCTTCCAACCATCTGAAACACTCTTTGTTTTTTAAGATGAGAGTTTGGAGCCGAGTGATTTTACCAACTGGGGTGACTTTTCTCATTTTGGTCTTCTCTCTGTCCCTTTTCATCTAAGCTGGCATTATTTCTGTTGAAAATCTTTCCCAAGAAATATGTGGGCCTTGAAGTAAATTTCTCTAGGGGGTCACTTCATTAGACAAATGTTTTTATTTTGCCACAAAAGAATTCCATGCTTTGGGCTTCTGTTCACACAACTGGGAGCAGCATATTTAACTTTCCCCAGCGCTGTGGTTTGGTGGAGAGCGCCCATCTACACACCCTGCATTACCTGAAGTGGCCCTTTGTGTGGCTACATACTCTGACTGTCTGGTCTTTCTGAGATTTTGGTAAAAGATTCATAGTCACACTCCTGGCTTTCTCCTTTGTGCTCTCTTCCAAGAGTTTAGAGTCTGTCTCTCGATTTGAGCATACATAGCCATTTGGTGGGGGGAGTTCTCAAGCCTTGACTCTGTTTAGCTGAACAGGTTTGTAAAAAGGAAGAAAGAAAGAAAGAAAGAGAGAAAGGAGGGAGGGAGGGAGAGAGGGAGGGAGGGAGGGAGGAAGAAAGAAAGGGAAAAGAAAGAAAAAGTTATTTTTTGGTGGGGTTCGTTTTTGTTTGTTTGTTTGGTTAGTTGGTTGGTTTGGTTTGGTTTGGGGGTTTTTTGTTTCCCTCATCAGAAAATGTATAATAAGCAGTGAAAAAACTGTGGAAATGTCATTGGATGTTGGAGATGTCACCAGTTAGCCAATTTAGAGTTTTGAGAGACAGTTGCTCTCAGCTTATTCTGCTTGTGTCACTGTTGTTACCAGCAGGGACTCCAGTTTCATGGGATTCTAACTTCAGCAGCAGCTCACTTCTGTCCTGAAGAATTCACGTGGGACTTAGTAACAGTGGAGGCAGCTGAGAGTTTAATTAGAGCAAGGAAGGAAGTGAGGGAAAGAGCAGGCCAGAGGCACAACAGCCTTGCCTAAGCAGACGTGGGGCTTATGCCTCTCCTTCTTGTTGCCCCTCCTTCTCTTGTGCCTCCTGTACTGGGGACACCCCCAGGAAGGGCATGTGCGTTTCTTAAAAATCCCATTTTGGCTGGGCGTTGGTGGCACACGCCTTTAATCCCAGCACTCGGGAGGCAGAGGCAGGCAGATCTCTGTGAGTTTGAGGCCAGCCTGGTCTACAGAGCGAGTGCCAGGACAGGCTCCAAAGCTCCATTGAGAAACCCTGTCTCGAAAAACCAAAATAAATAAATAAATAAATAAATAAATAAATAAATCCCATTTTGTTCAGAATTTAGACTGTTCAGTAGATGCATAAGATATAAGAAGATATAAGGTGCACAAGAATAAAAGGCATTTAGTAAATGCATTTAGAAGATGCATAATTTAGTAGATGTGTAAGATGTCAAGAATAACAGGGGTTAAGTCACCGAAAGTTGAAAAGTCTTCAAGAAAAACAGGCAACCACCTCTACACACACTATTCTTCATTGTTGTTGTCATTGTTGTATGTGTGTGAAAGACAAAGGATAATTTTCAGAGTCCATTCCAGTCCCATCATGGAATTCTGAAATTGAATTCAGATAGCCAGTTGTATGTGGCAAATGCTTTTTACCTGTGTATCCATTTGCAAATGAATAAAAGAGATAAGGATCCTGAAGGCATCTTACACATCTGTGTGCTTCAGCAACCAGGTGGGGCTTGTCCTCAGAGTTCAAGGTTACTTCAACATCACCACTCAAACAGTGTGAGCTGCCATATTAATATTTTATTTAAAAAACATTAAGATCATCTCTGTAAGTTCAATTGATGACTTCTCCTAGGAAATCTGGAAACAATGAAGAAGTGAAATCTTTGATGTGTCAAAAGTAAGACATGAATGAGGAGAAGGAATTTGTAGAGAGGAAGGAAGACATACAGGGATGGGAGGGGGTGAGAGAGAGTCGGGTGAGAATAATTAGAATGCATTAGAATATACATGGATGAAATTGTCAAAGAACAAATTTAGAAAAAAATGTATTGAACAGTGAATACTAAGATAGCAGTTTTCCTTTAAAGGAAACAATGTCAAATAAAGACATCCATCTAATGTTAGAATGCAGACTAGACTCCTGCTCAGGCTACAGTACATTCTTCAGCCTGCCTCTCTCCCTGACAGACACCCTCCTGAGAGCCTTGTCTGAGACTCTCTAGGTGACAGATGCCCTGGTACTTTGATTTCTCACCTGAGCATGAAGACCCTTTTGCTAGACTTACACCAATAAAAATACTAGAGACATTTTAGCCGGAAATGAAATATACCAAATGAAGCCCTGGAGCTCCTGGAAAGAATATGGACCAACAGAAAGGATAAAGGTTTAGAGATAGCAAAAGCCATTGCATATGTGGATATACAAATCGGTTTACATTTACAGCACATGAGAAAGTAAAAACACAGGCAGTGAATATAGTAAATTAATCACGGTCAGTTTGAATGACTTGTCTGCCTCGGGAAGAAGGGCTCTAACATTGTTCGTAAGGAATTA